AATTATTATAATTATTATTATAATTGTGATTTCTTTCATTTCTGATATAGAAATTGACTGATAAATGATTATTTCTTTCACAATAAATATATGAAATTCTAATTGATCAATTATGAGATAAATTTTGATTATTATTTTGTTAATTATTTTGATTATTATTATTATTATTTTTTGTTGTTAACTGATTAAGTTTTGTAGTCAATTCTTCTATTTGTTTTGCCAATGAATTTTGTATTATTTAATTTGGTATAACTGGTATGTTAAATAGATTTGGTGTTGTTATTGTTTAACTATTGAACTGATTGACTTGTTTATAATTAGAGTCATAGAGTTGTGCAGTTTGAATAATATCATTTAAAGTTATTGGTCTGAATGGACTGATGAAGAATTTGATTTCTGGTTTTAGACCTTTCAAAAATAATATTACTTGTAAGTGGGCTGGATAAGCATTTGTTGGATCAATTTGGTATAATAATTCTCTTATAGCAAATAAGTATTGTTCTACACTTTCAGTGAGTAATTGTTTTCTTTGATTGAGTTGTTGTTACCATTCATATATTTTCTCAACTGTTCTAAATTGTAGTTTGAATTGATATATAAATGATGCTCATTCATTGATTGCATTACCAGGAATATTTGAATTTTATTGATTAGGTCAATTTGCTATTATCATGCACTTATTTGCTAACCAGATACTAACAGATTCTTTTAACAATTGTTATCTTTTTTTGCATCAGTTATATTATTTGCTTGACATGTGCTTTCAAAGTCTTGTAGTCATCCAATTGGATCTTAACTATCATCATAAAAATCAACTATCTTTGCAAATAATAATTCTCTTGGAGATGTTGATACAATTGCTTGAATATTGATTACATCAGCTAAATTACCTAAATTAATCATCAAGATATTGAATTGATAGTTATTCATTATTGGTAATAAATTATTTTCTGGATTTGGATGGTTTGAAGTTTGAATTGGAATTTGTTATTGAAGTTTTTCTTCTTCAATTTGATCTTCTTTAATAATTTGTACTGGTAGATCACTTTGAATTAGAATTTGATTTTCTGAATTCTGGAGTTCAGCTAATTGTTCTTGAAGTTCAGCTAATTGTTCTTGAAGTTTTTGTTGTCTTTGGTAAGTTCTTCTTTGTATTAAAAAGTTTGTGATATCTTGTTGTAGATGATACATATATACTTGTATTCTTATTCACTTTGATAAGAATGTTGTTTTAGTAATTTGCTAAGTTGATTAACTGATTTATTGATTGTATTATCTTGATAAGTTTCATCAATTATTTCAGTTATTTGTTGTTTTATTCCTTGAGTTGATCTCTGGTTAAAGTTTTTTTTAAATCAATTTCATCTCTTAGTTCTTCAAATAATTAGTTTATTTCAATACTAGTTGATTTTGTTGGATTCAGTTTAATTTATTGATTTGGATGGTTTATTCACAAAGAATTCAATTACTGATTGGTTGGTTATATTTAATGTCTTTGAAAATTTCTTTTCTATAGTTTGATACTATTGAAAATTTCTTTTCCAAGTGTTTGATACCGTTGAAGATTTCTTTTCCACAGAGGGAGCACCAAAAATTTGTTATTATTTCTATTGGTTTATTAACTTTCAAGTATAAATCACGTATTTTTTACATGTTTTAATTAAGTGGGGGAGTTATTAAAGATTTTTATGTGTTTTAAAGTAATTAAGGTTGGGAGAAACTAATTTATTAAAGATAGGTAATGATGTATTCATTTTGTTAAACTGTTAGAATGAGTTCAGAAATCTTTTTTAATTCAAATAATTTAATTGTTAAGTAATCTTTTTTTATTGATTAACTTTTATTAAAATTATCTTCTTTTTTTATTATAATATTAATCAACTTTGCAGGATAGTGATGAGAGATTAATTATATTATTATAGATGACGTTGCTTGTTACAAATGAGAAATCTTTTAAATAATAAAAAATACAAATAAGAAAGTAAAAGAGTAATTAATACTTGACTGAAAATCTCCAACTCAAGGCTTATAATATGACTCATTTCTAAAAAGATTTTGTTAAAGAAAATTAAAAGATAAGAAGGTAAAAAGATTTTTAATCAAAAAGATTATTATTTATGAGAAAATTAAGTATGAGAAGATTATTTTTCTAAGCTAAGATACATGTTATATTTATACAAATTATTATTACTTGATCTTCAAATATTAAAGCTATTTTTGATTGATATTAAGGTTACAAAAAGTACTCACTTGATAGTTGCATATCACTTGCTCGCTTGATAGTTATACATTGCTCGCTCTAATGTTACATAAATTTTATCATTAATATCAATTAAATTTGATTATATAAATCGATTAACATGTGCTTTTCATACTAATAATTATAATATGAATTAAATATGATTAGTATGAATTATAAATAATATAGAATGAGGTAATATAAAAATAGAATAAAATAATATAAATATAGAATGAAATAATATAAATATAGAATGAAATAATATAAATATAGAATGAAATAGTATAAAATAAAATGATAATAGTATGAAATAAAATAAAAATAGAATGAAATGTTATAAAAATAATATAAAATAAATACAGATGATATAAAATAAATATGGATATAATTTATAAATTAATTATCCAATGAAAATTAACTATAAAAAGTCATGTGATATGCTAAATTTATATCACAACAATATGATTTCTAAATAGTAATAAGCAATATATATTTTTTGATCTTCACAAATAATAATATATAACTGAATATATCTTTGAATATATGTTTTTTTATATTAGAAAACAAATTATTTAACTATTAAAACATATAATAATATCTATAGAAATGATTATATATCAAGTCACAAATTATAATTTATTATTTATGCATAAGTTTTTAAATTAAAAGTATGAGTGCTTAATATATTGTTAGATTATAATATATATTAATTTGTATATGATCTGATAATATTTAGATTATTATATTATAATATATTATGCATATATCTCAAATAGAAATGGTGTAATAAGTACGTAATGCTTATTTATTATTTGTTGCAACACATTATAACTTCAAATTTTATAAGTTACAACTGGTTACAACTAGTTAATACTTTATTTGTCATTATATTGCAATAGTTACTGCATTAACGTTAGTTTCAGAGCTCCTTTAAAATGATAATATAAACAAAAATTTGTTATAATATTTTTATAACTCATGATATATTCAAATTTGATGATAAATTCATGAACTTATTATCAGATAATCTCATTATTATAATCTAGAACAAGTAAACAAATCATAATGTAATCCATTTACTGCATTCATTTTCAGTTTATCTTCTCAGAAATAATATATCAATATAATTATTCTTTGAAAAAAAAGTATTAGCAATTAAATCAGTAAATAATTCCTAATCTAAATATAAAATGAACATAACAAATAATCTTATTGTTGAAGAAAGTTCCAGTATTATTAATTTATAAAATGTATCAATAACTATAAGACATAATATAATAGATGAAAAATAAGAAAAATTTGTTATTTATAAAAAGATAATGGATAATGTATTAGTTTATATGAGTAAGAAATAAATAATGATAAGTTTGTAAATACTTTCAATAACATGTTAAAGCCAATGATAAAAGTTGTTAACGAGTATCAGAAAGTACTACAAGCTTGTTATCAACAAGAAATTCAAAAATCAAGAAAAAAATCTTGCATTTTAATTATGTTAATTTGTGAAAAAATAAAAAATAATAGTCTATTACTTGTAAAAATTTGTCAAGTTTTTACGTCGCATCTTTTTAATCACATGATTCGACACTTTCTTTTTAGTCAAAGTAGAAAGTCGAATATCGGATGTGATTTGCATCGGTCGGAATTACGTGATCAGACACTTTTTTCCCCGTGGCTAGGATACTAATCGATATGTGTACCGATATAGTTACATTAATTTGGCACCTGATATATCATGTGATATTGGAACAGGTTTCTCGAGTCTAAAGTCCCGACTTGAAGTCGAGCAGGCCGAGCAGACTCAAAGACCGACTCCAACGAGCTTTTTAACATCCCTAATTGCGAATTACGGTACTAGCAATAAATATTTTATCACAATGGAATATATTATTTGGATCTCGTTTTGACAAATATTTTGACATCATTTAATAATGCATTATTTGCTGCTTCATATTTTTTGAATTTATAAATATTATAATACTTTTTAAACTGAGATAGTCATTCTTAAAATCATTAATATTCATAATTCGTAGCTTTTGTATTATGTGTACTCTTTTAAGATTGAGTAGCAGTAAATACACAAAAAAGGACGAACAATGAGTATTGGGTATTAGATTATTGGGTATTAGATTATTGCGTATGGCTTAGCTTATTGTTATATATAAAAGACGTGTTTCACATGCATATTTCTATTACTATACACATATATCAATTTTCTATCGCTATTTCCTATATACAAGAAATGTGTTCTAACCCAATATCTTTCCAAGAAAAAATCATTCACAGAGTCGAAACCATACCCAATGCTCACAATTCGAGGTGAGACTGTCAAAATCGAAGTATAGTATCTGTTGGATGTATTGCACTTCTGTTTACTAATAATATATGAATTGCGGCCGTTGACACAAACGCACTAACTCGTCGTTTTGTTTCCAACTGTGGCTTTGTTGCAATTCATTGTTTGATATTTTGCTATTTAACTCCTCGTTGTCCTCAAACATTACGTCCACGTTTAAAATTCTCGACGTAAATATTTCCCAAAATGCATACCTTCAAGCATTTTTTAAAAGCACTCACCTGCCTCGCTCTAATTGCTCTTGCTCAAAAAGTCACTCAAGCTCAAATTAATATTCCTAATATGCCTAATATGCCTAATATGCCTAATATTCCTAACATTTCTAACGATAATAATGCTTCAGGGGACAAAAAATACATTATCGCTGATGCTCGTAAGAAAGCTTTTGTTCCTTCCACCCTCAACATGCACCAACACGATATACTTGTTTTTGTGGCAGATAAGAGTGCTGACTGGCAAACATTTAGTTACTATGTAAACCAAAATAACAAGAAGTGCGAAAAAGATGCTAGCTCATCTAGCTGTAAGTGATCGATTTTGGAGTTTATGTTAAATTCTACTTTTATAACTAGCTAACTGACTGACGTTAAACTACTTATAGCATTTATTAGCAAAGGTTCATCAAATGATGGCCTCACTGCTTTCAGTAGCCTTTCTTTGTCTCTAGGACCAGGGTCTTTTTACTACGTTGTTGGTAACTTTGACAATAACAACAAATGTGATATGACTTTAACAGCTACAGTTGTTGCTGATGATAAACCAACCACAGACACACCAAATCCTATCTCTAATACCACTAATTCCAGTTCTAACGGCTCCAGCTCCAGCAGCTTCGGCGGCTCCGGCTCCAGCATCTCCAGCAGCTCTAGCAGCTCCGGCGGCTCCGGTACCTCCATCAGCACCGGTGGCTCCGGTAGCTCCAGCAGTTCAGGTGGCTCCAGCAGCAGCTCCGGTGGCTCCAGTGGCTCCAGCAGCTCCAGCAGCTCCGGTAGCTCCGATATTGGCACTACCAACGTTAGTCATAATTGGATTCAACTAGTTGGAATGATAGTTATTACTATCTTAATCACATAATCCGCACGGAAGTCTTAGTAGCTGGTTCTGAGGTCGATTCTCGAGCTTTATTAATCTTAATATAAAACTAACCAGTTTGAAGTATTTTCTCTTGTCCATTAAAGAGTCTTTACGTGTGTACATATTATTTTTCGTTTTGATGAAATTCACATCTCATTTTTAATAAAATTTTATTTCATATCGATATACATAAAAAAAGATTTCTAAATGAAATCAATTAGGTAGCATGTATTTGTTATACGTTACATCAACATCTATTTACTTTCATACGAAATCCCAGAGGCTATACTACAAACCTGAATATAGTAAATGTAACCTTTAAACGATCTTCGTTCAAAGTTATAATGTCATGCTGTAGAGAGAAATTACGTGTTTTTTCTTGGTAGAAAAGTACATTCTTGTATTAAATATGCAAATTTATTAAATTTATCGTAATTTTAACGATTGGTTTATCCAGAAATTTTTAGCTTCATTTACTTGGTGTCTTGGTCTAAGACTCGTTATTTTGATGACATTATGCTTAAAAGTTAATCATACGCATACATGCATACTCAATAATAGGTTTCGTATGATTAAAAACAACATTGTCTGAAGATTATTACAATTATCTCTATCAGTAATCAGTCAATATCTCAGCCAAAAACAATTGTAATTCAAAGTAGTCCACATCAATGACGCTTTTTCTTTTTTTTTTCTTGTCCTTCTCCACAGTTGGATGAGGTATTGTGAATCTGAAAGAAAAGTTATAAAGATTAAGGTAGAAAAGGTAAAATAAATACACACATACAATACTCGAATTCAAATACAGTCCCATCGTTTGTCGCGCCCCACGTTACCTGGCCAGTCCAGGATTTCTTCGTCGCTTCTTCCAAACCATCCCCAAACAAACATGCAGAAAAAGAATTCCGCAGTAACGTTCCCCGATGATGATATGATTGAAACCATACCGTTTAACTTATTAATATGACAGATAAGATCTTTATATAACAAATAACATCTTATTGAGGACCTTCGCTTTAGACCTTAAGGCAAAGAGAGGCTGCAACACGGCAACGGTCGCCACCCGCTGACACTTGATACAAGGAAGAATCATCTCCATATTTCTTGATAGGTTGATTGTCTGTGAGTACAAGGCGACACGGTGTTCTCGGGTTTTCTGCTGTCCATGTAGTGCCACCGAGATATCGATTCGGCGCAGTTGCTCCAAGGATGTCTGCAGAGATCGGATTCTTTCTTAGTTAAGACAACATTCGAAAGGCACCACTGCAACGCCGGTATCGTTTCTACCCTCGATTTTGCTGCCAGTCTGTTGTTTTCGAATATCATCATCCCCATTTGCCGTGTTAGTGCGAATCAACGCCCCGAATATGTATTTTACGATCTTCATTTTCTATCCTTTCTGTGATTTTTTCGTGATTTGTGTCGAAAACGTTAGGTTTATTGTTGTTGGAAGACCCAACACATTCGTCTCCATCATCGTAATTTTGTCGGCCAAGAGAACTAATATCCTGACAAGATACGCTTACTAGCCTTGAAGTGTCATCTTTTTGAAAGGCCGACGGATGTAATACGTCCAAAGAAGATATACAACGTTAGGGTGTCTTAGAGAAGTTGATAGCTGAGTGGCAGAACTATCAAATATTCAATTGAGATAGTGACAGTCATGTTGATGTGTAGTCCTGATATAATTAGGGTTGGCTAAAGCTTGTTGGGTCCGGTGATTCGTCCGAGAAACAAGTCAATAAGAATGCGTAAATTTTTGATCAACCCGGAAAATCAACTCCGAAGCACGAACGTAAAAAGTGTAAAAACGTCGGTGAGGCAATTTTACATATACTCTCGCCCTCCACTCTAACCTTAATACTGTAATAAACACGTATCACATGCCCACCAGGCTTTAATCACCCCCTATAATTGGCTTGACTTTACTGATCCGTTACACAATCTGGTTTGTCAATATCGTTATATAAATTAGTAAAAAGATGTGTTCTTGGTTGTCATCGTTATATCGAGTTTGACGGTAGTTGCGAACACTTCTCTATTTTCAAGTCTATACACGTGGTCTTGGTTAGATAATTTACAACAAAACAGATAATAGAATGTGTTTAACAAAGTATATTTCGTGTAGGAATCCTGAAGCTATTATTCCGTTCGATACCACGGGTAAGATGGTAAACCCTCCTCGTTGTCGACTACTACTACTTCTAACAATAATGATTGTGTTGAACGCCATATATCTTTGGACGTATTACATCCGTCGGCCTTTCAAAATGATGACACTTCAAGGCCAGAAAGCTTATCTTGTCAGGATTTTAGTTCTCTTGACCGACAAAATTACGATGATGGAGACAGATGTGTGGGCGTCCAACAACAATAAACTTAACGTTTTCGACACGAATCACGAAAATCATAGAAAAGACAGATCATGAATATATGTTTGTGGGGCGTCGATTCGCTGTGGAAAACCAACGTCGAAAAAGATGATATATGACAACAACACATTAACAGCAAAATCGAGGGTGGAAACGATACCGGCGTTGCAGTGGTGCCTTTCGAATTTTACGTTATCCTAATCCAATCTCTGCAGACATCTTTAGGATAACTGCTCCGATTCGGTACAGAAAAACTGAAGACCCATGTCATCTTGTACTCCCAAATGATCAACCCGAAGGAGGAAAAAATCTGGAAGCCATGTATCAAGTGTCAGTGGGTGGCAAACACGATAAATCTCTCGGGTGTTGCAATAATCCGCTTATGATAATCGAAAAGTTCGCAAATGAATCAAATCGTTGCCATATTGCAACTTTTATTAACTATAAACTCAATGGTGAATCTGTTATATGGAAGATGTTAAATTGTGCCTCTATACAACTCGCAGCTGGTCTTTCATTACCTTAGAGTAAAACAAAGTCATGGATTCATTTATGAACACTCTGAATCCGCTGCATGTATTGCCGACCAGAGCCTGGTTTCCATTGACGATCTTTCTGACCTATGGTTTTGATCACAACATCATTATCGGGAAGCGTCGCGGCGGGATTCTTTTTCTGGACTGCTACGGTCGTGTGTTTGTTTGATTGGGACTCTAAGTGATGTATTTGTGGCCACTTGGGGATTGTTGGAAAGAGGCAACAAAGGAATCCCAGTGGCATGGAGGCGTGGAATTCGATGGGACTGTATTTGAACTCGAGTATTGTATAATGTGTATATTTTGCTCATTTTTTACCTTAAACTTTATAACTATTTTCTTTCAGACGAACACCATACCTACCCCGTTGCAAAAAAAGACAAGATAAATAAGAAAAAGCGTCATTGATGTAGTTAATAGTGCGAAAATGACTTTACTGCCAATCTCAGTGAATAATTAGTATAATTTACCATATAGCAATGTATTGGAAAATAATCTGAATCATTCAATGACTAATGAAAGTAACAATCAATTTACAATGCACATTCACCATCTTCATTGCATCAAGAAAACTGTGATGTGACGAGGATAACAGAATATAAAAGTCAAAAAGAAGCACGAAAATATTATGCGACCAAGGAGGCTTGTGTTTCTTAAAAATGATCTTTGGAATAGCATAGTAAGGAGTTCTCTATCGTAATAATCTTTGCGATCAGATCTCCGACTGTGCAATAATCCCGAATGTATGGCTCGGTCTATCATTAGATAAAAAAGTAGTATATATATGGATGGTTTTTCTTTTGTTATGACCATTGACAATAATAATGATGCATGAATCTATTTATTTTTTTATTATAATGATTTGTTTGGGACTTTGACAAACATAATAAATTACAATCGCTATCTACTTGTTGATTGATTAATTAAAATGCAAATAAAGCGATATAAAAAATCAAGGTATTTAATGTAACATGGTAAAAAATGTCTTCTAAAGCGGGGAAAATCAGTTGCTATGTACACAAAAAAAATAAAAAATTATATAATAAGATGGACGAAATTCAGAGTTTAGAGATGGAGATGCAAAAAAATGGAATTGAAATTATTGGAGTCGAGAAAAAAATAAAAGTACAAATTATATATAATAAATTTAATAAATTAATATTAATAGTCTTAAATTAAAGATTCAATAATAACAATCAAAAAAGTCGACTTCAACTCCAAACTCAGTCTTCTTGATCCTCTAAGAATAAATAACGGCAACGACGACAATTATTATTATCCTTCTTCTTCTAATGTTGGTGATGTATATGAAGTCCAATACCAGATTGCCATTCCGAATATTAATATAATTAAAAATAACGAAATAAATGACATAATTCTATTGTATCTTCGCCATCTACGCTCAACTTTATATTGCACATGTCTCGGAAATATAGATCCGATCCACCATAACGGAGGCAACAAAAATCCAAACAAAAAGAATATCGAGCCAACAGGACAAGAAATAAATGGTTCTTTTTCTATTATTAATGTTCTACGATATGGCAGCCGTTGTCTATTTTCATTTGATGACGATTGCCGTTGAGATGGAGTCAGAAATGATCGCATACTTTTTCGTGATGGTTGTGATGGTTGTCGTTTAGGTTGTAAACCATCATTATTTTTATTCTCTTGTAATCTCCTCGATTGTTCTTCCATTTCCGCTCCTGCACGTGAAGTGGAAGCATCTGGCTGAATGTCTGCGGAATCCGACGTGTAAAATCGATATGCCCATGATGGTAATGATGGTAATGATGAACCTTCTGAACTCTTTGAATCCCGTTTATCATTAGAATCTGAACGTGAATGTCCTTGCAATTTTTTATTATCTATTCTTTTCGTTGGTTCTATCGGAATTATAACTTCATGTGGTCGCTTCTCCGCTTGCAGATCAGTCGGTGTTAAAGGTGTAACTGGTGTATGTATTGAAGAACCTGATGTCTTTGATCCGTCAGTTGCCACTGCTGAATTATTAGTATTAATACGTGAGAATATTAATGCTGCTCGTGTCTTTTTAATAATATTACTTTTATTACTTTGAATACTTTTATGGGTATTATTTCTTGAAATTGTGCCACTCTTCAGGAGTGGCCTAGTTGCTGGTGTATTCTCGTAGGCTGTAGTGGGGGTATAGGGGATGGAGGAGTTGATTTTTCCATAGCCTCTTTCTAATAACAGGTTCTCCGTTACCTCGTAAGGCCAATCACCCGGCCCGACCTCATAGATCGGCCGGTAAATTAACGGAGGTTGTGTAATAGAAGTAAGTATGGGGACCCGCCCCTCTGCGGAAAGTCTCCTTGGTGCTGCCGTGTTTATATGCTAATTAAGGAATGGGGGCTAGGTCAATCAATTGAACCAACACACGCAAGCTAATTTTTTTGAAAAAAATTGACAGAAATTATGATAACAACAGGGTGAAGAATTGTAGGAAGAGAAATAAATTTCGCGGAAAGTATGTGGTTTTATGCAGTCCGTTATGTTTTTAACACCGGAGGAAAACCAAAAGTTTGATAAGAATGGGAGGCTGCAGTATTGTTTTCAGAGGGTGTGTGCGCGGGTGGGTGTGGGTATACGTGAAGAAAGAGAGGCAAAATAATGAAAGCTGCAAAAAAAGAGTGGACAAGCCAGGTTAAGAAGCTCGAGAAGCAAGTTTGGTCGCTCCAAAAGACCTTTTTGGCATGGTGTTTCGAAGCTGACGATTGTACTAACTAGTTATTTAGTCTTGGTGATACTAGAAACTGAAACTGAAAAGTTACCAGTTTTATAGGAGTACATAAAATACACAGTAATATACAAAAAAGAATTTTTTCGAGTCTCCGGAGGCTATGACAACATCTTGTATTTTGCATTACTGTATAATAATTATATATGTATAATATGTGTAACGGTGAATGTGTATCACACGTTAATAAAACTTTATAATTCGAATTTGGATGTAAATTCGTGTTACTCTTTACCATGCTGATTATCAATAGTAATTATCATTATTGCACATGCACCCAGAATTTAGTTCAACAACAATGAATAGGATCTTGTTTTATTGTTGAATAATAATATAATTGGTTAAAAATCGCTGGACTGCTGATTCTATATCACCAAAAGTATCGATCCATGAGGGCAAATTTTTAATATATTAATTTTAGTATTTTCCACGAGGGAAAAAACTCAAACCAAATTATGATAGGAATAAAAATAACCGAACTACGATTAACAAAATAATCAATAAAATAATAAATAGTCAAAAATAATAGTAAGCGATAGATAATAATGATGATCATAATCGTGATTACGACCACGACATTTATCCAGAATAAAAGTTTATTTTTATTTGAATTTCCATATTTGATATTTGACCAAGGATTCAACAGATCACGCAATCTTCCTTTTTTTTACTTTTCTCATCAATGGGTACACCTTTTAATCGTTGTTGAGCTCGTTTATCCCCATGTTCTGCAGCACGACGATACCATACATTTGCATCCAACTGATCTTTCTTTGCACCGATTCCAACTTCGGTAAAATATCCAACAGCATATTCTGCTTTCGGCAATCCCTGTTCTGCCGCGCGTTTTGCCCAAAGATACGCTTCCGCGTCACTTTGTGGAAGAACACCCGGACTACCCACCAAATACCACGCGGCCAATGCGAAACAAGCTTCTCTATGATTTTGTTGTGCAGCTATTGTGTAGTAATGAATCGAGAGTGCTGCGTCTTGAGGACATCCCATTTTCCCATATTCATAACATTCACCAAGTTTAAATGCCGCTGGTGCATAATTCAGTTCCGCAGCACGAACAAGCAATTGTACTGCGTATTCAATATCTACAAACAGCGTATTCTCTAAGCCTCGTTCGTGAAGCTCAGCGAGTTCATATAATGCATGTGGAAATTCTTCATCGGCAGCATCAGCTGATCTTTTTAGCCATTTGCACCCATCGCGTGGATTCTTTGACAATCCTAGTTCTCCCCTTAATTCGGCTAATCCAAGTCGATACATTGCACCAGCGTGACCTGGGGCTGCTTTTCTATATATCGGATAAAGCAAATCTAATGTTATAAATCAGCTTGATCGGGTATAATAAATCAGCTTGATCGAGTATATAGTGTTCAAATTTCGTCATACCTGTAAAATTTTAACGCTTTTGCCGCGTCTTTCCGACAACCCCAACCATGTTCATAACACATGGCAGCACGATATGCGGCAGCACGACATGCCTCTTCTGGTTGAGAATGCTTACTAGCCTGGACAAACAATGGAAATGCCTTATCGAAATCAGGTTTAGATTTTGATGTGCCAATTCCCCTCGCATAACAATCTCCAAGGTAATACTGTGATTCTGCGTGACCTCGATCCGCTAATTTTTTCACCAGAGATATTCCTTCTTTTAATAGTTCCTCCTTTTGTTTCGAGTCCTCAGTCATTGCATCCGAGGCATCAATAATGAAAGCGGCGAATTCGAGTTGAAGTTCTGGGTCATTGGTTTTTTTGGCGTTTTGTCGATATAGTTCGAGTGTTTGTGCGTGTGAAAGCAACGAGGCTTTGTGACCTGGTTTGAGATGGGATTGATCTAGTATAGGTGGTTCTGGTGTTCCAACAATGGAGCCAGGACGTGACGTTTCTGGGGTTAATGTTGGAGCTGTCAACGACATTATGTAGTTTTAAAAATGAGACAAACGCCAGCAGTATTGTAATAGTTATTTGACCAGAAAGTTGAAGATATCGTTAACGCTAAAAGGAGATCTATAACACGCGCGCAAGTTTAAAAATATTAAGAAGGGAGAAAAGAACGATGAAAAAAAGCGATTCACAATTCTTTTTATGAACAATAATTTTTAATAATATCGATGTGTGCTACAGATGCTCTAAATAGAAAAAGCAAATTTCATCCAATCAAAAAATCAAGTTCAGTCTTGACTGGCGTATAATTGTCGTAATTATTGCGTTGGATAAATCTGTATAATTGATTGATTGACAGTATACGAGTTTTTTCCCTTATCTTTTTACGTTGACTAGTTCTTTTTCCTTCCTTTTATACCTGCTGACATTTTCCTACTTGATAATTAGCCGGTTGAGTTCGGGATTAATAGAGTAACAAACCTTCAAGCATGAGAACTGTGAAGTAACATACATAGATTGGATGCCCTCTGGCATTCTTTCGCTGGATCCAGCGGGACCTTGCTACTGAGCTATTGAAAACTTTCATGTAGTGGAATCGTGAGCGCACGAATTTACTACCGTATTCTGCATCATTGACATGACTTTTAAGCCATTCAACAACGTGTGCAGGTAAAGATAGGATGTTGGATTAAATTGTATCGTTCGTTGATACTATCCGGTTTCGTGTCATTGATTTCTAAATTTTCAAAATAATATAGGATTTGCTCTTTGAATTCAATTAAATGCTTTTTGTTGGTTTTGGACTAAGAATGAATATAATATCGATATATCACCTACTCTGATATTTTCAGTCATACAACTTCAAATCTTGTACGGATAATTTTCAAGGGGCATATAGAAATATGTAAAATAAAAAAAAGGAGAAATTCCCAAATGGATTTGCTAGATTGAATTACAAGATTCAAGTTTATGCTCTATTGAAAATAAAAGAATGAATTTGCTGAAGTTCATGCTTTATTATAAAATAAAAAAGCAAATTTGATGGATCAAGTAAGATTCAAGTTTATTTCATTTATTTTTTAAAGCATATAATAGTTATCAAATAATATATTCAGTAATTTAGAAAGTAATGTATTACTTTCAAAATTTACTATTAAAACATAATAAATTTTATTTTTATATCAAAATAAAGATTATAATTTATATTTTAATATATATATTTAATAAAAAATTTGAAAATTATTTATAATATAATTTTTAATTATAATATGATTTTCAATATAATATAATTTCTAATTATAATATGATTTTTAATTATATAGTCAAATTCCTTTATAGTCACATTCATTTATAATCACATCTATTTATAGTTACATCTCTTTATAATCATCTTATTTTACTTTTTCATTTATATATAAACATAATAAAAAAATCTTTATATTTATATTTTTTCAATAGTCATCAAATTTTGCTTTTTCAAGAATGATAACTATAAAGAGGTTTGGTTATATTTATTTATTAGTACAAGTTGTTGTAGATTTATCTATAATTGCTATTAAAGCTATTGCAAATTAAACAAAAAAATATAATATATATTCAAGAACTTATCATTAATCAATTAAAAATTAAAGTAAAATTTAATATATGATATAATTAACTTGAGATAATATTAAATAAATTAAGTAATAAAAAATTGAAAATATAAATTAAAAATAATAGTAAAAAGAAAAAAATGAAATTTTTGAAAGAAATTCTATCAAATAAATATATTTATATTGTCACTGTTTTACTTGGATTTCAAATATATTATATCTTTTTACGTGCTCAACATGTGTTTCAAGTCAGGTAGGAGAGATAAGATAAATAACTAAAGATCATGATCAGGCTCCTGGTAGGTATAATCAGGACGTAGGTGTTCAACCAACATCTGATAATGGTATTTTTACAGTTACTCGATCTCGTTGTAATTAGTATACTTCAGGATTGTTACACAATGCATTTTCTTCTATCTTATAGATAGACTCTCACTATTACTAATAGATATTATGTCTACTTAGTGTGGGACAATCCTATAGCAATACAGTACTGATATTCTATAGCA